TAAACGTAATAGTTTGCAGTGTATGAATGTAAACGATAAATCGAGATTATGCCAAGGTCCATTTATGTCAGTCACTCTCAAAGCCATGATATAAGTCAATAAAATGGCATTAATGCAGCATGTTGTGTACACATGGGGGAACAACCAAATAGACAGATGGGGGAGTGGAAGTAAAAAGAGAGCAGTAAGGGAGAGGAAAAGCGGTATCAGTAGGCATAATGCAAATCGCATGCATGAACTATAAAGTAGAGCCAAACCAAAGTTATGGGTCTTAATATGCATACATTTAGTTCATCCGGCTTCCCGGCTCTATTCACGGATGATGCGAACCATGATGCCAGAAAGGCATTTGAGAAAGCGCCAAATTGAAGCTCTGATACAACAAATGCACAAGGAGAAGCAGCAATTAACCGATAACTAGGAGCCGTCTTTTAAGTCTCTCTGTAAGTATAATCGGACTGCGAAAGCAAGGTCGAACCAAGCACATGTGAAGATGGAGGACTATCATGCTGAAGGGCAAATCATTTTGCTCGCCTCTTTACTTAACCTCGATTATTTGCCAAATGTCAACTTTGTGGCCAATTGCTGTGACAGTAAAACAACTCATCCCAGATCCGTCTCGATCCAAGTTCCCTGGGCCCAAGTAGCAAACCTCATTTATTAGTACCCATTGATCTTGGTTATTTTGGGGGAAATGGGAGTGATCAAAAACTGTTCGGCCACCAAAGCTCAGGTTCCTCGACAAGAATACCAAATTGTCTGGAATGCCATTCCGACTATCTTATTAACTGTGCCATCAAACTATTCTGCCCACGAAAAGTGGAAGGGTTGACGCCTCTTGCCGTGTAACCCCAAATACCACACCACTTTATATCATTATGCTAAGAAAAGTTGGGTTTTGAGGAATCTATTTGTTTACAAATGTTGAGCCCATTTCCATTTCGAGTTAAAGTATGATGAAGAGATTCGAAGGTCGATTCCATTCGAAGATGATGACGGATTCCCCTTGGCCAGCTATCGATTGGTCTTGCTGGAACATTCTGGTTGACGCCATCGTTGAGGCACTCTCCTTAATTTTGGTGAAAACGTGCTATGCTTTTATGCATCCTCGGAGCAAGATATCATCCTTATGACCATATTCAAGTTACTAAGTCAAGAAAACTCACTAGCCTAACTCATTAGCTAT